TATGAACACAGAGCATATGCTTAATGCTCTATCAATCGCCAGACTGATTTCCTTGCAAAAGACTTTTCTAAGACTTTATACTGTGTAACTATCCAATATGTCAGACTTTGTCTTTCCTTTTGTCACTGCTTGATAAATAATTCTGGAGTCAGTAGGAAGTTGCTGTGAACTTAAAAGTAAAGGGCTACAACTGCTCTATCTCTAATGAAGACATCAATGCGCTCTCTACAAAGCTTCATTAGGCACTACGGTCCAACTGTTATTAATAAAAAGCAAAGTGTTTTTAAAATCAAAATTATTGTTTCCCTTAAACATAATTTCACAATTCACTGAAGTTTTCTAAGGCAGAATAAATTAAAGTTCCTGACTGGGAAGAGAGTGAAACCAAGCAGTGTCTCCTACCCTGTGGAAAAAATGCATATTTCCATTCCACATCACAGTGAGGACACTAAAGGCATTTTTTGCAAAGCAATTCAAAAGCGTACTGAAAGAAAAGAAAACTGGTAAGACAGTTGGTCCTAGAGGAAAGGCTGTAGAGAGGGACATCTCACTTCAATCATCGTCTCTTACCGTGTCAGACCCTGCCGTTCGTCCTCACAAAAGGCTGAGGAGTCCTCCAGACGGATTTGAGTTCTTCCTTCAGCTCCTGCTTCAGATCCAAATGATTTCTGATCTCCTAAAGACAAGGATAAGGGTGAGAGGGCGAAAGAAGCAGACAGACCTGCATGCTGCCCTGTCCCCTTTTATCCTCCTGTCTGACGGGAGGATCCCCAGCAGGATCCCCTTAATGACACCCGCCCTTCGAAACAGACCTCCCCACAGATTTCAGCAGCACGGACCATTCTCCTCTCTTTCCATTTTTCCTCAGCTAACAATAAAAACAACTCTTCCCCACCAATCTGTCTACAATGTTAATGGTATTGAACCCTAGGGGGAAAAAAAAAAAAAGAAGCTACAATACGGTATCAAAAAGCTGAGATCACTGCTCAGTTCCCATGCTAAGAGCAATTTTATATCCTCTGACAAGGATCCCAAAGACAACTTGTAAAAATAAAATGTAGCTTTCAAGTCTACAGCTAAACAGAAACACTCCAGTTAAAATCTGCACGCATAACTCCCACAGACCTATTCTTTGTAATGGAACATACCCGTAGATGTACATATACAGGTTATTTCAGTATCTAGCACACACTTAACTGTGCCCCACTAATTACTACCCTTTTTACCTTTTGAAGAGATTTAATACAAGCAGTGACAGAGATACAATGTATATAATAAGTGTTGTTTTATTCTCCACTGGTTCCTACACCATCCTCTTCAACAGCCTAATCCTTTCATGATAGTATCTGAAGTCATTTGGTTAACATTTGGCAAACTTGCAATGCTACCACTCTTTACTGAAAACAAAATTAATGTATCCCAACACAGCACTGAGCAGTATCTGTGCACCTTAAAGTCAGGCAATGATAAATAAAAAAATAGACAAGCCATTCCTTTCACACCACTAAAACAATTTTTAAAGGAAATTCGCCAAGTTTGTTTAAAAATTCTGTGGAATTAACAACTTGTGTACTGTTGGACAGATGCTGTACTTGAACCTCCCAGTTTAGGGCGACATGCCTGCTACTATAGTCTTAACCATCACTTACCAAGTATCTGTAGAATGCCTTCCTTCGATTTGCAAACTCACAGTTCCACATTTTCTACCTGTGACTGAAGAGCAAATCGCCAGAAGGAAAGAAGAGTCCTCTTTCTTATAAAACAAAACAAGGATAAAATTTCTCTCTCTTTTGCAACAGTTTTTGGAATTTTTTCTTATAGTCAGGAGCCTGTGACAATTTAAGTTAGAAACAGAACTCGTGCAGCCCTGAAACGTCTCTCTGCTGCATGACTGGCCAGAAGAAGATAATTTAAACTTGCATTCATTCCAGTGGGTCAATTTGTATTGCAATTATTTGACCAAATTGTTTTCTTTGGTGATGAACTGAATATGCAGCAGAGGAAGACAATATGCACGGAAACTTCCAATATCAAAATCCGTTACAGAAAGTGAATTTGAAATTAAAAAAATCTAGAAAACCGTTACCTAATGAACAGAAGAAAAAATATCTCTGAAACAATGTATTTTAGTTGTTTATTCACCAAGATAGCATACTGGCAAAGCCGTAGCAGGGTGAGCGGTCAGAGTACAATACTGGAAGCTGTGGAAAGCAGCAGATTGCTCTACATGGTTGTTGCTTCCTTTCAAACATCAGTGCTGCCATTTCACTGGCTGGATATGCAGCACGCTCAACCATACCCCATCAAGTACCATTAATAAAAAACACAAGGGTTTGTTTTGTTTGTTTGTTTTTTAATAACAGATGCTGGTGTTCAGGGAGGAAACAAATCGTTGCCTTCCATCTACTGGGCCTTTAGTTTGTCCACCTGGGTCCTCCTTTCCAGGCTGAGCATGGGAACTGTTTCTTGGTTTGAGGTTTCTTTAGCTGAAGTGGCCATTCCTTGACAGCCAGCTGAAGCCACGCACAGAGGCCGTAGGAAAACCCACAAGGCGCTACCTGCCCTGCTGCAGCGCAGCGGAGGCCGGGAGCTGTGCGTCGCAGGAGGCCCGGCACCGCCTTTTCGGGTGAGCCCAGCGAACGCCAGCATACCCCGCTGCTAGCGCGGCTGCTTGGAGGCACTCGCAGCATTTTGAAAACGGCGTTATGGGCAAGGACAAGAACGCTGCGAAAGCCCAAGCCTTTGTCGGGGTGAGCGCTGCACGCAAGCTGTCTCACAAGCCCGTGAAGAGGCAGGGGAACCTGTCATCTACTGAGGTGGTATTCACTCGGGAGAACGAAGGCTAAAAAGCAGTTAAGGTCTAGATGTATAAGTGTACATATACAAAATGAAGAATAAAAGTCGTGCCGCCCATACGCCCTCACTGAAGGCCGTTGCCGCGCCAACTCTGGCGCCGTGTCAGAGG